TGGGGGGGGTGGGAGAAGGATTTACCCTCCAGTCCTTGTTGGGATGTGGAGGAGGGAGGTTAATTGGATTGCTTTTGTTGGGTGACCCAGTGCTACCCTCACACGCAGGGACACACACATTTTATATTCATGTTCCTGTGTGTTTAAAATGTGTTTGTGTCTTTATGCTTGTGTTTAAGCATTTGCAGATGCACGTAACTTTGAGAGTGTGTTCATGTGTGTCCGTCTGGGCTGCTATAGCTCACTGGGGAGTCAGATTGGCAAGTGTATGAGGAAGTCTCAACCACACTTCAACAGAACTGCTGCTACTGCAGTCAGAGCTCTCTGGGGAGTCAGATATCAGTCAGCATTGGAAATCAGATTTCAGCCAGTTTGTTAAGTATTTTGGAGTCTGACAAACTTTACAGACTTCACAATACGTTGATGTCCAACTGGTCAAGCCCCAAGATCTGCATTGGTCCTTTGTTCTCAAGTCATAGTTGATGTGCTCTGAACTCCTTTTCTATTTTATTTTACAAAAGGAACATTTAATGGAAATCTAAATAAAATGTGCTTAAGGATGAACCTAATGAGGTGAACAGTGTGGGTGAGAGCTTATACACCCATCTTCTACAAACATTATGCCTAACATTGTGTAGGTGAGACATGGATCAGATTTATTTTTCCAGTACATTCCATAGATGCTACGTGGCATTAAGACCTGAGAAATTTGGAGGCCAAGTCAACATTTTAAACGTTTTGTCATGTTCCTCAAACTAGTTTTGAGCAATGTTTGCAGTGTGGCAGGGAACATTCAGCAGCTAAAACAGGTCAATACCATTATGAAATCCTGCAGCCATGAAGAGTAGCGCATGGTCTGTTAGGTAGGTGGTACGTGTCGTAGTAAATATCCACATGATTGGCACAAACCCAAGGTGTCATTCATCTCTTCCTTAGGTAAACAGTGTGGCTGTTGTGGTGTATAAGGACATTCTCTGTATTTAGAAGCGAAGCAAACTCAGTCTGGTTATTATATCTGGAACATTAGCACATATTACAATCTTGCTGTTTTCTTTAAAACATACCAGTAACTGGAGATTCGCCAGATGTGCTTTGTTCATCTACAGTACGTTCATAAGAACCTGTCAATACATGACTTGTTCTTTGGTTATCAACCCCACATGTTTTTTTCATCCAGAACCATTGTTGGGTCTTCTATCAGCTGACACCCTGTGGTGTAACTTAAAACACATTGGTCTCCAAAATACCGTTCACAGAATCTCATATTTGCACATTTGTTAAACAGCATTATCCACAACGTAAGGAAAAAATGGGCATTTATTATTGCAGTTTTAGTGTAAAACCATTCACCACCTTCATACAGTCCAAATCTGACCAAATCACTGACTCCTATATGAAGCTAATTATGCACCGTGTTGTCTGATTGTCTGACAACATTAATGTGAGGATCTTGCAACTGGCAGAACAGCGGTAACTTGGTATATTTCTTGTACAATACATAGGCAATATGTACAAAAAGATTTAACACACCAAGGTTTTGCAAATGAGTCCCTGAAATGACCACAACAACAAAGCGTCCACTCATTAAACAACAGTGTGACGGTGTGGTTGGTAGTGTTCAAAGGTTACAAGAGGTGCATAGATCTGAGTGCCTTTTCTTTACCTCCTGTCCTCATGGGGTATCGACTCAAGGACGCATCAACTTTTGTAGCCCAGAAGATAAACACGGAGCTCTCATTAGCTGTTGCCACAGAGCAAATATCAACATTGATCTTTCAGCGCGCAGACAAACAATTACGGTTTGTACTGAGTGCACCTGTGTGCAAGAACATCATGCCATCACACTCTTTAACGGCTTTGTATCTCCTACACTGATGTTTGCTTTGCGTCATGAAGAACACCTTCCTTATAGTCCTGCCTCAGCTTAAACACAGAAGTATGCAAGCTAAGTTCTGGAGTCTCAACATAAACTAAAAATGGTGGGTAATAAAACAGCATGCCAACAGGCAGAAAATCTCCTTATAAATCATTTTTAAATCACTTTTCGCCCATTAACTGCTCACATTACTGTTGCTTGTGACATAATACAACATCCTTCAGATTAATGTACCCATTTGTTTTCTTATCTATATTAGTCTTTTCTTGTTTCTGGGAATGTTGCCCTGTGACATCCCCATTTGGATGCTGTTCCCTTACAAGAAGGCTGCTTTCCCAAATTTCTGCTCACTCTGTTTGCAAAACTGTGGACAGCTCAGTGACTTTGCTGCCGACTACATTTGTGTAAGAGTGTGTTTTCTTGGCTGTTGCGCACGTGTAGGATTTTGTGTCTTTAAGAAACTGTAGGGGAGACCAGGAGTGAGATGGGCCACATTTTACATAATGGCAGACTTCAATGATTGCTGTATATTTATAATCTTGATTTATATTTCTGCCCAACTATCCACATGTTCCACCCAACATTTGAGGTCTATTATGCTGGCTTCAATCGTGGAAAAACACCACATTGAAGCAAGCACAGATCCTGTATTTAGACTATCTAACTGATATGTGGATGTTCAGCAGTCTAGCAGGTTAGTGCTGAACTCTGTCATACTTTCGTCACAGTGGATTTGTCTTATTTGAGTCTGTGTCTGTCTGTGCCACACAATGCATGTTGTAATTCCCATAATAATTACGCATGGCAAAGTGTTACACACAAACACAGACATGAAATCCAGTTCTTTTATAGATATTAGATAATACCAGGATGATTCCCACTTTAATGCAGCCACATAAGGTTTAGATCTTTGCTGAGACATCAACCTCAGCATCTCTATCCCTTTTAGATACCTATGTTCACTTTAAACAACATGCAACTCTGCAACGCTTCAATGAAAAAGGTTGTTTTCTGTTTTCCAAGCTGCCTGTCTCTCACTCAGGGGGTCTTAATGAGCACAAAAGCTGGGCGGCCTACCTGGGCTGAATCCAACTTGGGATAAAACTCTGTTGTGCCCTCAGGCCACACGTGTAAGCACAGCAGTCGCTGAAAACAGGCGTTGTCCCACATAATGTGTGGAGTATAAAAGAAGCTGCCAAACGGAGGATTAAGATCTGTAGTGAGCACTGAGCGTAGCTGAAGGGTTGAGGTGGTGTATCTCTTCATAGAATACAATAGAATAATTTTTTATTTATCTCCCATTGGGGGAAATTTACACGCCACAGCAGCCTCCAGAAATATAGAAAGAAAAGTACAAGAAAATAACAATAACTAATGATAATAGTATTTACACTGAAAAGAAAAATAGATTGTGCAAAAGTGAATTCAATACATGAAATGCCAGTTTTTTCAATTTGGTCAACATCAGCTAGTGATGCTGATGTTGTACAGTCTTATAACAGCTGGTAGGAATGACCTGCGGTGGCGCTCTTTCTTGCAGAGAAGATGTTTGAGTCTGCTGCTGAAGGAGCTACTTAAAGCCCCCACAGTGTCATGCAGCGGGTGAGAGGGGTTGTCCATGATGGATGTGAACTTTGCTAACATCCTCCTCTCACCCACCTCCTCTATGGAGTCCAGGGAGCAGTCCAGGACAGAACCGGCCCTCCTCACCAGTCTATTTAGCCTCTTTCTGTCCCTGTCTGTGCTCCCCGCTCCCCAGCAGACCACTGCATAGAAAAGAGCAGATGCCACCAAAGTGTCATAGAATGTCCTGAGCAGGGTCAGGGTCAGGGTCCTGTCTGTGTGTGTGTGAGTACGTGTGTGTGTGTGTGTGTGCATTTACAAAAGCCTAAATGTCCTGACAAGTTGAAGATGCTAAACTTTAGCCGTCATTTGTTCTGTTTTCAATGGATTATATTGTCTAAGGGTTGATGCTCTTTATGCAGCAGCGACAGTTGGGCTTTGGATTATAGGTCATCGAATGGAATCATTTGTTTGTTTTCTTCCCATTATTTTACAATGCAACAAGCTTTTGCTATGATTGTACTGAATGTGATTAGAATCAGAACACAGATAAAACCTGATGCAGAGAGAGGAAGTAGTTCCTAAATCCATTCAAAAGGGTGATCTGAGTTACAGCTGAACTTTTTGCTAGGCTGCCCTGAAATAGTTGACTGAATATTAGCTTATCATCAACCAAGTCTTCATTGTTTGGGTGGTCACAGAAATAACCTAACCAAATGTGTAATCCCCTTGCTTTTTGTTCTGATACAGCATTATTAAAGGTTTTGCTGGTGTTGCTGTGACTCGTTTTGTGTGTGCACTTGTTCAATAATATTTTAAAGGCTCGTTATTTCTGCTTTGTATTTTTCTGTAGCACAATGTTACAATGCAAATCATTTTCTTGCGCCTCCTAAAAAGTAAACATTTAAATAATCAAATCAATATCATAAACATGCGACAACTAGTCGACATGGAAACTGTTTGTTCGCAGGAAGTCCAGTAAAACTGCAATACATCCCTCTGCAGAAACAGAATTTGCATGCACATAGTTTGGGTTAATGGTATTCCTGTAAAGTTAGCAGTAGACAGGAAAGATAGAGTGCCTCACTAAGATGTAAGCACAAAATAGCATTCATTCACAGTTTGATGTAGCACCTACAGCAGTGGCTGTGCTTTCTTTTGTTGTGCTCATGTGACCACCCATACATTTCTGTCCAAATTGTTTCCTTTTAAGGGTTGTAAACACCCTGTAGTTTATTGAGGAAACTGTTCGAGTGTGATTTAAGCTATAATAAACAACAAACAATCTTAATGTTTGTTTGTGTACTTAGGGCAGATCTGATTTTTATGTACATGTCTAGGTATACAGTTTCTCTAACCTATACATTTTTGTCTGTCTGTCTGTGGTCTCTTCTCCAGAGCTGTGTGTATGGTGAAAACCGGACCTCCATCCAGTGCACCACGCCCTCTCTGGCCAAACTGGCCCTGCAGCCACCGGTTGTCACCAAGGTGGCGTTTGTCCTGGACGGCTACTCGACAGAGCAGTGGGACCTGATCTACGTGGAAGACCCCCTCTTCCAGGACCCTAAGCTTACCTCCAAGGACAACAAGAGCATCGTGGAGCTCAAAGTGAGGGTGCTTATACAGTAAACCATCTTCTAATTTTAACTCCAGTAGCTTCATTCAGTATAATACTAAAAAAAAAAAAAAAAGTAATTAGCCCTCACAGCTTCATGAAACAAAGAGTAGAAGGGACCTACAGAACATTAACCTTTGGTAAAGACTCCACCTCTTGATCATTAGCAATGCAGCAGGACATACTCGAGAAGAAACAAGTGCAAATACTCAGGGTAACTGCAACAGCAAAAAAAAAAAAAAAAACAGTTTTTATGTGCTGTAGCAAATTTCAAAAGCAAAAGACGTGCAGAGCAAGAAAAGAGCAGAGACATCGAATCTAAAACGAAAATAGAAGAAATGCTGGCACCACTGCTGCAAGTCTGCTGAGCGCTAGAAGCGTTGAACTCTGCTTTGTTGGACTTTTTAACTTTACTGAATGAGATGAATGCTCAGCCTCCAGCCACTTTGGAGTTCAAGCCTGCTGGCCCCTGCACTTTACCTCCCAGTGCTCACACACATTCACACATACAGTCACCCGAGGTCCGGGTCAAGTTGGGAAGGAAACAATACTGAAAGAAAAACAGGACGTGGAGTCTGTTTCCCATCGTTTACACCCTCCATCCCTCCTCCACTGCTATACCTCTATGTATGCTCTCTGTTGACTCGTATTGTTCTTGCTGCTGAGGTCAAAGCTCTTGACATATTAATGCTGCTTTTCAAACAAGTCACCACAGCCCCCAGAGCCCATTTTAGGAACACAATGAAATACATATTTCTCCTCTTTTCTTTCTCTGTTTTTTTTTTTTTGACTGAAGCTCGATGGGTTGTGGCAGCTGTGCTGAACCTCTCACAAGGGATCCTGGCTCCCCCCCTTCTTCTTCTTTCACTCTTTTCCCAGGCGTGACCTTGGCCCCGATGCTAAATCCACCACCAACCTAACATGTATCCCCCCTCATCCCCGCCTTCAGCCCAGACAAGCCCCCATTTTTTGCCCAGGGAGAGATGGTACCAGCCATCACACCGAAACAGGCCACATTTAACGCCATCTGATAACCCTGCTTTGCAATGGCCTCCAGTAAAGGGCAAATGCTGGGCTCATTTAGCACCATCTGATAACCCTAACCCCAAAGAGGCTGCAAATAGCAGCCAAATAAAAGAATATTTACCTCTGACTGACAGCTCTGCATTAGTATGGCAGCACATGAAGGAACCAGGCTGTTGACTTTGGCTCAGAGCCAGGCTCTTATCGCTGCCGATCACTGTACGGGAGACTGAGAAGAAACTCACTCCTAATTATCACTGTGACAGTTAATTTTGGAGAGACTGGTATTACTGTGATAGCTTTTTAATAACTTTACCTCCTCTCTGCACTGTGTACTGTGCTGTCACGTCGACAGCGGGGAAACACACAAGATAATAACTGTATTGGATAAACTTCTGTTGTCTTTGTGTGCAGACTAATTGCAAGCAAGTGGGTGAATTAGTGAATTGTCTTGCTGTGCTTGTAGACTGCCAAAGTGGTGTGTGTGTGTGTGTGTGTGTGTGTCAGAGTGCAGGAACAGGTGCGAGCCTCCACTCTGTGGCAAATTGGAAAATCCCAAGCTGTCACGCAAGGAATGTGATCATTCTCTTTATTGCCTTCTGCTAAAGTCAAACAAGTGTGTTTATGTGTGTGAGTTAGCGCGTGAGAGAGGTGGAATTGGAGAAACAAAAATGGATGCAAAGAGAAGCAGGGGAATGAGACCAAGTAGGAAATAAGTGGAGACAGAAGAGCAAATCAAGCTCTGCTGTTTTCTCGCAGCTTCCCATCAAACAGCAAAATATCACTCAGTTACACAAACACTCGCATGGACAGCAGCCGAGTGTGTTTCCAGTCAGATCTCAGAGGGTGTGTTTATTTTCATCCCATTAGGGGTTAAACAACGAGAATAAGCCCGGCTTACTCATGTCAGCTGTAATAAGAAGTTCAATTTATGCTCACTGCTTACAATCACTGTGAATCATGATGAACTCTGCCAAGAACAAGCATGCAGCTCATTTACTCCAGTGATATACCACCATTTTCTGCCCTTTTCCTTTAGATTTAAAACCTTCTGCTTTCAGATTCCAGTATGTCCTAAACAAGCCACGAATTTGCTTCTAAAATATGACTCCAGTCTATACAAACAGTTTTATAGCTACACAAGGAAGCCCTGAAGAATGTGAACATTATGTCCTCCAGTGCTGTTAATTCTATAAATTACAAGGAGTACTTTCTTGCGGTCTGTAATATTTTTTTGTCAGCATTCAGAGCCAGAAAAAAGTGTACTTGGGCCAAATTGTGAATTGGACTCCTCCCAACCAGCCGACAAACCTTCTCTGACACATGACAACAGATATTAGGGATTTAAAGAGGTTTAATCTCAGGTTTTTTGGTTATATTCTTCTGTGGTACATTCACTAGCTGTGTTTCCATAACATGTCAGTGCACATTTTGAAGTGTTGCATTAGAAAAAGTGAGTTAAAACTGCAAAATAAAATAAAAAAATAAATAAAAATGTCAAACTTCTTAGATATTTACACTAAAGAGTGAAAGTGCTTTATGGGAAATGGAAAAACCTTTTTTGAATAAGTTCTGATAAACACTTAACTCACAGGACTGATCAACTGTTTGCCTTCTTTCTTTGAACATGGAAAATACCAGCTGACATGAAAGAATAACGACAGTTATTATTTTAGTTATATTAGTTTTATGTTTGGCCATATAAAAGCAATGCCTGAAGACTTTTCTCCATTTGTCTCTGACGAAAAATGCAGAACTTGTTCTGGTTCTCTTTTACTCTACTTACTGCAGCCATGCATAGTGTAGCCGCTACGGCTGCTTCCTGATAGACCTCACAACATAGCTTATTTTATTCACTCCAAAACAGTTAATGGAAACAAGCCTAATTGGCTTTATTTTCTTTTTCCTCCTCACTTTTTGAGAGGGGAGCATTTTAGTTTCCTCCAAATTCACAATTTGACAATAATGTGGAATCACAGCTACCTAGTGATTAATGCTGAATTTCTATTTATCTTTTAAACTCAAAATCTAAACACTTTGCCTCTTCCTGTTTGGGAGTAGTGACATTTCACCTTAGTAATGAAACTTCAAGTTACCGTCAACCCTTTTGCAACCATTAATATAGCATATCTCTCTTTTCTCCCTTCTGTCTCTCAATTTTTCTTCCCTTTCCTCGTTAATTCTCTTTGTGTTTCCTTCTTTCTCCCTTCTCATTCCCTCTCTCCGTCTCTTCTCCACCTTCTCTCCCCTGCAGGGTGATCGGATGGACAGGGAGGCGATGAAATGTCAGGTCCTGACTGTTTCCAACCACAGCTGTGAGAGTCTGACTCTGGTAGGAAACACTCTGGAGTGTACCGTTCCTACTGAGCTGCAGGCCGCCACTGCCAAGGAGCTGCAGGTGGAGGTGAGACACATGCAATGTTTTGACTTCTAAGTTTACATTTAGAGGCAGTTGCCAGTTTTATGTTTTTTCTGGGTCAAAAAACAAAAGATGTAGATACGTACAGTTACATGTTCACCCATAAAGACTAAATCAATCCATATATGCAAATTCAGACATAAATGTAGAACACATTGCCTCCACCTGTGTACGTTGTGTATACACTCACACCTACGCACCACCTCTCCATTACTGACTGCAACAGTCAGTCAACAGAGACACTTTAATTGTGACAGCCTTTTGTTTATAGAAACACTCAGTTCACCACAAACACACATCCACACCTCAACCACAGACGCACACACACAAACACACACATCCTCCTCACTCAACTTCAACAGGAGTCTTGTTCCAGCCTCCCTGCATGTTGACAGCAGAGAGGCTTCGGTGTGTGTGGCAGGGTGTCCTAAACCGTTCACTAATGCCAGTTGTTTTCTTTTGCATTTTAGCAAATTCGCTAATTATGCGTGTAAGGTGACGTACACAACCATATGAAAACAGTTTTCTTTTCCAGCAGTAAGGAGTATTGTAAAGGCTCGTTAATTAGATTTTCATACCTGTACGCAAAGCAAAATAAAGTAACTTCTTAGAACTTGTCTGTATTAACTCACTGAACCCCAAAACCCACTGGTGGGATTCAAAGGCATGCTATCTTTAAAGAAATCACCAAAATGACACAATTTTCACAGTTAGAAACGACAAAAATGAAACTTCAGATTTCCAACCTTCCACTGGTTCTTGAACGTATCATGTTTGATGTACAGTTCTGTCGGGAAAAACAATCAAATCTTGTAATTGTGATCAAAAGTTCTCATGTAAAAGATTTCCAAAAATTAAACATTTGCACCCAATCCTGTGAAAACAAAACAGAGAAGCCATGACTGACACTGCTGCAGTCAACAGTCACGTGACAAAACGTCAGGACATTTTCAGGTGAACTGCAGGCAGTGTTCACACAGAGCAGAGAGGAGACGAAAAGAAAAGACTAGAAGAAAATAAAACATACTGGATTAATAATTAATAATAATTTATGAAGCATGGCTAAAAAATTATATACGGAGGAGAAAAATGTCAGCAAGTCGTTGGAAGATACATTCAGCATGGTGAAACATCTTTCCATAACTAATTTTTCTTTCTTTTTGTGATTTGTGGCAATATAACTTTGTCACATTCCACAGAAGACATTTTGGATTTCTCTCTACTTCCAGCAATAGCTGTGCTGTTTCTATTGAGGTGCAGTGAAAAATTAGCCCACTGTGAGGAAAAAATGTGACTTGGGCAAAAAAAGTTTTTTTTAAAACTCCCAGAATCTACTTGGGTTTCAGAAGGTTAAACACTTTGATTTGACATGTTTTTAAATGTGTTCTTTTTAAAAACCTCTTTAAACAAGTGAAAAGAATAATTTAGTACAGCATTAATTTCCAGAACTGCCTCACTCTGTCTTAAATTACTCCTAGAAATTTCTGTGTAATATTGGCAGAAGTATTTCCTGCTTTGTAGGGTAAAAATGCTCCGAACATGTTAAGATGATTTTTGCAGTGGTGGTAATAAAGCTACCATTTACCTACCATAACCTCAGAATGTGAGCCAAGAATGACCATGAAACAGATATTATGTATCAAACATCTGCTTGGAGACAAGTGGATGTGAGACAGCAGAAATCCATAAAGCCACCTATAATGCACTTATATGAAAATTCCCCTCTGTTTGTATTATCAGGCTCAGAGAAGGAATTTCAGCAATAAAAGGTATCATATCATATCACAGCACCTGCTTCTGAAGGAGGAAGAGGCCTATTGGCCACATAGCAGTAGCATAACACACACTGATGAAAGATGGACAAAGTATGTGCAGTCGCTTTTTCAGATGTCGTGATTGTTTTAGTGTATTTCCTGGAACTAGACTTTGTTATAAACTGAAAACATAATCTTCCAGTTTAATCCATTTTATCTTGGACGTTTTGATTATTGGATTCAAGATTGACAAATACAAAAATATAAAACCAAGGGCAAACTTCATGAGCCATCAGGTGGCAGCAACAGGCGCATTCTGCCGGCGGCCATATTGAGCTCTTCATTATGCGCTGTGGGAAATTCATGGAAAACACCGCATTCCTTCGGCGTTCCAGATCATTTACAGGAAACTTCAATAACTGTTCTGTCCTAATGCAGTCCTTTATAACAACCAGCTCAGGGAGAATTTATTACGCACTGTGTTGAGTGAATGGGCTCAGCAGCCAGCTGTCTTATCACTTGAATATAAGTCAAGCAGCTTCTAAATTGCAAGGATGGGGTCGTACAGTATGAGGCTCCACAAAACCACAGATACATATAAACACGCTTTCACACACATTGTGTCTCTTCTCAATGACAAAACGGAATAGGAGAAGATCGCCTGTGACTCATTCTGTGGGAAAAATTCAAAGAAAAAAATATTTAATAATTAAAGAATAACTTCTAACAACTTTTGTCTGAAAATCTACTGAACTCCTGTTGCCTTGCTTTAGTGGTGTGCAGATGGGCTTCAGTACATCATGACATCACTGTCGGGTTTCCATGAAACTGTATTGGAAATTTTAACCAAATTTTTAAAGAATTGACTAAATAAAATGTGACTATATGCTTATTACTTAAATGAGAATATTCAGAGTATACCATAGCAGAAGAAAAAGGCCCAATGAGACAATGTTATTAAAACAGTGCATGAAGGAAAGAAGAGTTGTGCTAACTGCAAAAACTTTACAGACATTTAAGTGATGTGATTCATCATCATTTATTCACTGTTTCCATTTCACTTCGCTCCATTTAACTTGCGCTGACACACCAATTTTTCCACCACCCCCAAGCATAAAAACTGTTTTTTGTGATATTTCGAGATTTTTACTCTTTACGTTAATCCAGTTCATTAAGTTGGGAGATTAGAATCTGGGGCTGCAAGGTGGCGCAGTTGGTAGCACTGTTGCCTCACAGCAAGAAGGTTGCCGATTCGCGTCCCGGTGGGGGCACCGGAATCTTTCTGCCTGGAGTCTGCATGTTCTCCCCGTGCAGCGTGGGTTCTCTCCGGGTTCTCCGGCTTCCTCCCACACAGTCCAAAAACATGTTGAGGTTAATTGGTGATTCTAAATTGTCCGTAGGTGTGAATGTGAGTGTGCTTGGTTGTCTGTCTCTAAGTGTGGCCCTGTGATAGACTGGTGACCTGTCCAGGGTGTCCCCTGCCTTCACCCTAAGTCGGCTGGGATAGACTCCAGCCCCCCCGCGACCCTAATGAGGATTAAGCGGTGTATAGATAATGGATGGAACTAATTTTATTATTTTGTTATCATTAATTCAAATTTAATATTGTGTTTGAGAACTACTTTTTATCTTGTCATTAGTAGTGGGGCGGCTCCCCTGCACCCTGTATTAACCAGTCGCCACTGTCAATGGTGATTCTAAATTGTCCGTAGGTGTGAATGTGAGTGTGCTTGGTTGTCTGTCTCCAAGTGTGGCCCTGTGCGACCTGTCCAGGGTGTCTCCTGCCTTCGCCCTAAGTCAGCTGGGATAGACTCCAGCCCCCCCGCGACCCTAGTGAGGAGTAAGCGGTGTATAGATAATGGATGGATGGATTAGAATCTGACAGTGCTCTTCAACTCAGATGGATGCCGTATTTTAGTCACTAAAAACATCCATCCATCCATTATCTATACACCGCTTAATCCTCATTAGGGTCGCGGGGTAAAAACATATGAATAATAAAAGAAAATATTGGTGTTTTTTTAGTTTTGGGCGGGGGGGGAATTTAAGAAAACTACCTTTTGGCCCTTAGTTATTCTGTCCATTTTATTGTTTAGTCTATTTTTGTCTCAAAATGTCCAAATAACACCTGCAGCTTAAGTTTAGGAGTTAAAAAAAAAGAGTGACAACTTGCAGAGAAAGACTTGGACCAATATTTAACAATATTATATAGAGACAAATCAATTAAATAGAGCAGGCAGGAAGACAAGTTTCTACCCAAATAGACCCAAGTGGAACTGGTGATCATTAACTGGGTAATTTGCTCAATTTCCTGATATTACATACCGTCTTATCTTTTCCTTGACTTCTTAATTGTTTTAGATTTAATTTTGTTTGGGTGAAAACGATATTTTTCCAATCAATCTGCAATCAGAGAATTAGAACATTTTGCAAATTAATAAAAAAGCAAAAACTGAAGACTCTCATTTATATAAGTATGTTTTTTCAAGGACCTCTTTGTATTTGGCTGTGTTTATCCTCCCTCAGTTCTGACCAGTGTCATGGAAACTGCTGCTGAGAAGCATCCTCATAGCATGACGCTGCCACCGCCGTGCTTTACTGTACAGATAGTAATAGCAGGTGGTGAGCAGCGCATGGGGCTTTAAAGATCTTGGAGTCCGACTTAAAGAGTTCAGTTTTTGACCAGAGAACCCTTTCCCTCATGCTTGCAGGATTTTATAAATGCAGTTTGTTTGGCCAGACAGAGCATCACCAAGTGGGTTGGAAGTCACTCACTTTAAAAGATCTGACACCTAATGTTAAATATGATCACTTAATTTAAGTTTACCTACCAATTTCTTTAAATTGTCGATTTTGTTGAGCATTATCATAGCACTCACAGACTCTACTGTACCGCAGAGCATGTCGGAAGACATTTGATAAATGATGACCATCATGGTATACATGACACATACAGTATGTCATGCATGACATATATGGGGTACACACAAGCATTCAAAAGCTATGAAGCTGGTATTCAGACATATGGCATGCAATAACCACACACACACACACACACACACACACACACACACACACACACACACACACAGAGTTTGTTGCCACAGTCTGGAGGCAGATTACATCAGTGATATTGCTTCTGCCATTATTAGGTTTAGTGGAAATGAGGTTTCTACTGCTGCCTGCTGCCGCAGATAGGATGATGTCTGCGTGCGCATGTGTGTGGTGTGTGCGTGTAAATGAGACTGTCTGGGCATGTCTGGAGGTAGGGGACATATGAATGTGTGTGTGTGTGTGTAGGTTTGTGCAGCTAAGGGATATTGGCTGACCCTCCCCTGAGATAAAGGCTTTCCTCTGAAGGCCAGTTCACAAGTCAACAGTGATGAGCCTGATAGCGTTTGGTCTGCAGGCGACCATTGGATACTATCTGTAACCATGACACAAGAATGTCTGAAGCTCAGCATCTAATATTAGTTGTATCATACATTTTGGACATTTCACAATGCTCTAATAATCTCCCCTGAAATTTGAAGGATGTTTATTGCAAACAAAGATGCTAAAAGTCATGAGAAACTGAGTTTCATTTGATAGTGTGGGTGGTGAATGAAACAAAATCTACCATGTATGAGATTCAACGGTGTATTTACAATAGAATCCAGACTCTCTGCTGTGACTCTAATATGTCGTGTTTAAATCGTCCCTCCTTATCACTTATCTCAAATGTTTTTTCAAAGTATAGTTTACCTGACAGGAGGACAGCCACTCCTCTCCTTTGTCCGGATTTGTAAGAAAAGGAAAAAACCTTTGTGGAACCCATTCTTTTTAATTTCTCATGTTCCTTACAGTCTAGGTGGGTTTCCTGTAGGTGCACTATTTGTGCTTGCTCTTTCTTCATCTTGGTTAGAATCTTATTGCGTTTAATTGGATTTAACAGACCATTTACCTTAAAAGAAGTTACTTTTACCTTGCCTCAAGCCATACTCTGAGTGTTTTTAAATTATCCAAACCTAGTGCAATCATTACACTCCCTGAAAATACATAAACCAACACAACATAAAGAACAACGGCTACAGAAAGAACTAGTCGTACTTGAACAAAAAAGAACAGAAAACAATACAATATATTGACTTCCAACTGTGGGGTCTCCAATATGACCCTGAATAAGCCCCGAAGAGAGGAGGGCTTTGAGGGGGGGACTCTCTCACCTGCTGGTGGGAGAGGGCCTTCCTTTGCCATCCGCCCGATGTCCATTCTTTTGGCAGCCCAGGAAAAAAAACACCCGACCATTTTCATTGTCTCTATTGCCACACTTCTACTTCTTCTTTTTTTTTTTTTGTTCATAGTAATAACAGTGAAGTCACCCTCAGTCCCCTTTACTCATTAGTCTCTTAAGAGTCCTGCAGTCATTCCTGCTCTTGGCGTGTGAACACTTGGAGTCTTTCCTTGTAATCCCGGGTCCGATCCCTGCTCACCTGGCTCCTCGGTCTTCTCTCTGTGCGCCATGATAAGCGTCGGATCTGCTCCAAAATACTCACCGAGCGTTTGATGACCGTCACCGGGAATCCCCACTTTGCCATATCGTCAGTTGTCTCCTCCACCGATCCATACAGCACAGTTCCCTCCGGGTAAAAGACTCTCATCTTTGCCGGGAACGGGGTCTGGAACCGGACTTTCTTCTCTTTAAGGACGGATTTCATCTCTGAATAGTCCCTCCGCAGCTTCACAACCTCAGGTGCTTTATCATGATCCAGGTTAATCCTCTTTCCAAGGTACTCAAACCCACGTTTCTGCCATGCTAGTTTCAATATTTCTTCTTTCATTCTGTAGCTGGCCATTTTGGCAACGATGGACCGCGGCGCTGCGTTTGTCGGTGACTTTGGCACCAGAGCGCGATGCGCTCTTTCCACTCGCAGCTCCGCGGACCCCGGTAGCTCAAGTTTATCCCTTAATAAACGTTCCACAAAAATGACCATGGATTGAGCGTCATCTTCCGATCCCTCTTTAACACCATGAATTCTGATGTTTTCTCTTCTGGACCGTCAGCTTAGCATCCATTTCGACATGCAGTTTGAGCGTCTCCGTTGCTGCTTGCTCATTAGCTTGTATTCGAGTTTCAGCATCTATGATCCTTTCTTCCGCCTCCTCCACTCGCTTGTTTGTTTTATATATTTCCTCTTTAATCCCGTTCAGCTGCTCACAGTTATCTTTCCTGAATTCTCTTAGTTCTCTAAGTATAAGGTCCAGGCTTGTGTTGCTAGCTCGTTCCCCTTCGTCTGTTAGCATGTCGCTAACCTCCATGACACTGCTAGCAGGTGAAGTCTGGTCAACTCCGTCTCCCTCGTGTAGCTCGCACTGCATAGTCTTCTTGCTGTTTTTCCCTCTTGGCATCTTAAAGCCCTCACTCTTATTTTTTACTCTCGCCAAAGTATTTGCGAATTCGTGTCGCTACGGGCTGTTTTTTTAACTAAAAGTTCGGGAGCACGTTCTCCTACGCTGCCATCTTCTGGCTGGCCAAACCCGGAAGTCCGTCATGAAAATATTTTAAACGTAACATACACTTTAACTGATACTGAATTCTTAGCTGCTTAAAATACATTTTCCTGCTGACCCCATACATAACAGTTTTTGTTTTGTTTTTTTGCTTAGCCTACATGCCTGACTGCTATCTACTGCAGGTAAAACACTGACTTTGGATAGCTACTTCATACAACTCCACTTCAAAGAAAGCTGGCTGTATTTCTAGCCCCGTGGACATATTTGTTAAAAATCCAAGCAGAGTAAAGTGCAGGAACAACACAACAAAAAACACATCACTGTCAAAATGCTTTCGTTTGTGAATCTGGCTCCATTTGTCCTCGGAGCAAAGACTGCAAAGCTATATGTCAGGCAGACAACTTGGGTCATGTTATTACTGTATTCAGATAAAACATGCACATATTCAACACTTTCTTTGCAATTAGACGGTCTAGTTTTAACTGTCATGCACTGGATTGTTCTCAGAGCGGTAACACTGCTGCTCACTACACAGACTGCAACCAATGCTGCTTCACTCATGCAGCGTTTCGTCAGACTGCCAACGCTTGCCTGCAAGTCATGACCTGCTGACGTCACTCTTGCAGCAAATGTCCACTTTAATTTAGATAGTGAAAAGGAAAGTATGATATTTATAAGTACGATATTTAAAGTTCAAAGTATGAACAAGGAATTCCTATGGATGACGGGTAGTCCAATAGTATTTATTGCTGTTTTTAACATTTCCTTTGGCCTTCTTCAGTGGCGCCAGGCAGACTCCATCAGGCATCTGGGCAAGGTGACGCTGGCGCAGGAGCAGGACTACACGGGCCTCATCGTGGGCTGCGTGTGCGTCAGCCTGCTGCTGCTGCTGCTGGGAACGCTGCTGATGTGGAGGAGGAACAAACACATCGATGGTAAGAGCTGAGATGTCAGTTTGTCAAAGGGTCAAAGGTCACATCACTCCTGCTGCTGCTGCCATGTATTCAGAGACTTCTGACATCCTAAACTCAGCTTTAATGTTAGACAGTGGCCGACCGGCATTGATTTCACAGTCCTTTGTAATGTTATCTGCTCTGAAATATTATGCCAATCAGGGTCAAGTCCAGGTAGTTCGTGAAATGTTTTGGCAGGATAATTTGCAGATAGAGTGAATGTTGGTATGTGAGCTTTCACACGTGTATTTGTGTTTGTGTGTGTTTTTGTTTATTTTGCACACTTGCAAATGAAGTTCATTGTTTCTTTTCTAACCTGTGTGCATGAGTGTCTGCTGGGTTTTGCCTGGTGGGTTTACAGTAAGTTTATAAGTGGGGCGCACTGGTGGAAACGCTTTGCCTCTCTCAGTAATTCATCTCCCCCTCTCTCCTGTTTCTTCCTCTGTTGCCTCTTCTATCTACCACTTCTCTCTCCCTTCACTTCTTTTCTGTCCTCCTCACTCTACTTTCCTTCCTCTCAATTTTCCCATTTCTTGTCTTTTGTCCCGATCCCTCCATCTTTATCCCTCCCTCCCCTCTCTGTCCTTCTCTTACCCTATTCCACCTTTGTCTCTAGATCTGTCTGAGGTGTGGTATGATGGCCGGGGTCACATCCAGCATCTGGACAGGCTGGCTAACGCGAGGAGCGTCAGCCCCACTAACGAAATGGTCTCCCACGAGTCAGTCGACTATAGAACAACCCTGCTGGAGGGTACGTCAACCAGATAAGCCCCTCCTCACCCCCACCTGACATCCTCCCACTCCACCTCACTCCCTCCCATCTACCTGTCTCCCTCCCTGTGGGGCTGAACGCTGTGCTGGCGGTGCATGCCTTACTGAACTTAACTAACACCTGTAGGCTTGACAAAATGTGTGACTTTGAAAAAGAAAAGGATCAAACTTTGTTTTGAAACACCTTCATTAAATCGTCCATTCACCCAGTGTAGATAACTATAACTCATGTTGCCGCTCCTTGATAACTCCCTTAGTCAGTGAACTAACCATGTGAAAGCAATTATTGAACATTATGTCTCACTTCCTTTCATAAAATGTACTTCCTCATAACTTGACATGTTGCCTGTTAAGTCAGCATGTTTCAAAACAATCCAGTAATCGTTGGCTTTTCGTGGATTCTTGGCAGATTCCTCCAAACATGGCTGCTGCTGCTGCTGCTCAAAGCAAAGTTGATGAGAACAAGATATGTTTTTTTCATAAAAGCAAAACAGTTCAGTTAAAGAGACTGGAAAGAGCTGCAGAATAAATTACAGTTCTCTAAGGATTTATCAATGGAAGGGACATCCGTCATATTTCATGCAGTTATTTGATAAATTATTGTTGTAAAAAATGTGCAAGCAAAGAACCAATTTAAAATGTCAAGTGACAGTGTCAGAAGAAGCTTGTAATGCTCGACATTTACATGACTATGATGCTCGGTTGTGCACGAGCATTGTGAGGGAGATTAGAACTTTCTACAGCAGTTCCAAATAAATGTCCGTGTGAGTTGTTTGTTTACTCTAAACATACTTATATTATTAGTGGACATTGATATATGTTAAATACTAGAAGACTTCTACCAGTGATTTTTTTTTTGTCTTTTGTGTCATATTTCACGTCATTTTGACCCATTTCTGACATAAAGTTGATGCAAATCATGGACGATTTTGTCTGTGTCTCTCATCAAGTACGCTGACCATCAGTCAAGCCTTCAAAGGCTTTTATGTGGTCCATAGAGTCGCCTGTGGTTTTGGATCTCTCAGTCTGGATCCTGAGGGTTTGAGGCAGGCTCCTTGTATTGTGATCCTGAGTATGATGGGCAAAGCAATTTTCCTGCTGCATAAAGGGGACTTGAAAGGCTTAAAATGTGAGAAGGTAGACTTACTAACAAACTAATGCTTGCCCTCAGGGAGAGCTTGGTTGTGTGATCAGTAGCTGAGGATCCATATTGGAGCTTTCCATCTTTGTTTTCCATCTGTTTCAGTGCTGGCTTGTTTGATAAGCATGTGGATCATTTTGCACTGATTTTTTTTACACTTGTTTTCCTTCCACTAACAGCATCAGCAAAGAAATCAGAAACTTTTTTTTCCATCCCTGCCAACCTCCATCACAGTGTCAAGTTGCTTTCTGCCTTTGTAGTTGTCCCTCTCTGATCATGTAACACACCTCGACCTCTGGAGGCCCGCTGATACAGCCGCTGACCTCTGACCCCTTACATCTCCTCTGCTTCTCCAGATCAGGGCACTGACAGGCCCGAGACATGCCGCGGAGCTCCTCCCATCTACGGGGGCAATGGGGAGCTGCTGTCTCCCAGACTGGGGGCACTGGCAGGTGGGATGGGTCTAGGGCTGGAGGGCGAGCTGGTGTCACCCCTGCTGATGGCCCCGGTCCACATCGACCCGTCCTGTCTCCACCCAGACCTGCTGACTGAGGTGCAGCACGTGGTGATCGCCAGGGAGCAGTTGCTGCTCCACCTCAACCAGGTCATCGGCAGAGGTCAGTCACATGCCCAATATGTTTTCAATATCTAATGACAGTTGAGCCAGTGTTTTGCATTGCCCTTCCTGGAAAGGTTGCTTTTTTATACTGTAGTCATGTTTTTCTCTATTTATCCATGGTGCAACTCAAGATAGTAAACACATTTTTCCTCTACTTATTGTTAAATTTAAAAAGCCTCCTTATTTTTTGCTGAGACAGGGCTCCTGACTGTTCATTTTAAAAATATACACTTAATTATGCTTGTTTATTTAGTTGTTTTTTGTTGTATTATTTTACAGCAGTTACACATGACTGTCCATTATCATCACATACATTTAAAATATAAGGAATAAATTGATAAGTAAAAAATGAAAAATTGCCTGACCAGTCATTGCTCAGTTCAAACAAAAGAGTCATACAGTATGACCTGATGGATGAACTAAAATGAACATGATAGTTACTTCAAGTCAATCTATTAGAGCATTTTCATATAGTACAATATTGCAAGCTTCCGTTAATTTAATCCTACTGATGTAAGTTGTGAAGACATTATAATCTTGCTATTATGTGTGAGTATTTACATTGATAGATGGAAACACAAAATCCTAAACTCATGATACAGGTGATTTAATAGTTACTTTATTAAATGTTTGAGTAAAACATTCAGCTCAGTGCCTCTAACTTCATTGTTTAGGTGAGTTTAGGGTTCTCCTCTGTTGAAGTCTGTTTAAGTACTTTCATTCTCCATTTGACTTTAGGCATCACAATCCATGAAGCATCCATCATCCTTAGTATTAATCCTGTATTGGTAACTCATAAATGGGGGGGGCGCAACAGAATAATAACAAAATATATATACAGATTTCCGTATAAACAGCTCATAAATATTTTAGCTATTGTTGAATGATACTATTATCATGCGAGCTCAGCTTGAAGTGTAAGATTTCTGTGAAGCTGAATGAGACTTTAGTTGCCTGCTTTATCAAAACCACAAGCTCAACATGCAGACACAAAATCACCTCACATTGTGGCATATAAGTAGGCGGCTCAGACCCACAGATCAAATTCAATCTCAAGAGGAGAAAGCTCCCAAACCCCTCTGTGTCACAAAACAGCCCCCTGCCCCCTCGGCTGAATTATCCCCTGAAGAAGAAAAAAGCCTGGATTTGGAGGTTGGAGTTTTTCAAAGTGGCGTAGGATGATTTGTTCACAGCTAGTATTCCCAGGGTCCATTGTTGAGAGAAGTAATCCAACACCCTCAGCCATCTGCAGGGACGTGATAGGAGAACGCCGCGCTCATTTAATTCCTTCACCTTTCCCAGTCTGGGGCAAGCCCCCATGTCTTAAAGAGGTTATATAATTCAATAAAAGGCACAATATCTCAGGGGCTTTGCACTGGTTGTTAGCTTGTGTGGGGTATTAATGAATAATGCTTCATACTGGGTTACTTGGTGGGGGCAGATTTAGTGTAATGGTGGTGGTAACTTAAGAGAATCAGAGTTTGTGGTTTAAGGTGTGAAATGCACATGCAAGAATCAGACGTACTTGTTTTTAAACCAGGAGGTGGTTTTCTAGCCTTCTGCTCCAGACTTTTACTATAACGTGTGAGCAGTGGACAGAAAGGTTTTTATGTGATTTCTGGAGCTGCTGTGATCATGGAGCCAACTGGTGGGATGCAAGTCCTGCTCTTTCGAGAAGAAGGCTTCAAGATATAAATGAAGGACACTGATTGCACAGAATCCAAAAATGGCCCACAGTGCTTAGTGCAAGCTAAGTGGGTAATTTAAACAGTGCCTTACACTTGTGTCTGGTCCACTTGTGTCCATTTATGGGTATGATTTAGAAGGTTTTGTGGTTTACTGACTCGATCTGTGAGTACATCAAGCAGCAAGATGTGAAACAGACGATATGATCAGAATCAGGTTCATTTTATTGGCCAAGTATGTTCACGCACACAATCAGGTGGAATCTGTTTGTCAGTAAGACTCAACGTACTTCTATGCAGGTTTATCTTCAATCTCTTGTTATGTTTTTTTTTGGTTAGTCATGGTGAAAGTCAGAGACATCAGATTTTATCAGGACTCAAAGGGTCTCACAAGCCTCTATTGCGTCAGTACTTTTAACAATTCAAATGTTCTCTAGCCAGGTGTGTTATTAAAACACTGGTTTTTGGGACACACAGGCAGTACAGTGGCTACATTCATGTTCATTCTCATTGTCACTGGAACTGAAAGAGTTGCATCTCATGTATCACTGTCACTTGGATAAAGAGGTGTTATTTGGAGGTCCTTTACAGGTTTGAACATGAGCTTTTGAACTCACTAATTTTGACTGATTCTGACTGATGTTGTGCATCGTGTTGTAACCTGCAGGCCACTTCGGCTGTGTTTTCCATGGAACACTACTTGAGTCAGACGGGCAGAAACAGCACTGTGCCGTCAAGTCCCTGAACCGTAAGTACAAAGCTCTTTATATTCAGTAGGTCAGCCATACCTCTTTAGAAGTAAAGGGCATGGCTAAATAGAAAATGATAAGAGAGCAGTGTGTCGAGTATGTTGTAGTTTGCCAGTGAAGTGATTCATGTCTTTTTTGTTTTGTTTTTTTTTGTTTTTTTTTTGCTTTTTCATGCAGCTGTGATGGTTGGTGCTTGATTTTTTTCACTTTGAATGTCATGACTCCACAAGTTTTGGAGTTGACTGAGCTGCCACTCTACTATATTTGATGCTAAAAAGAAAACTTATGAGTGTTCAAACTATACAATGAAACAATGTGTACTACACAATGCATTGTGTATCAAAACAATAGGTGTGTTTACATTGAATCCCGGCTTGGTTTTGATGTATTTCAGGATGAGGCTTTTCTGTGGAACAACATGGTCGTTCATAACACTGTGCATAAGCCTGTCACTATAAACATCTAATTACCTGATCGCAGTTATTTGAGCTGACTATGATGATTCTGCATAATCATTAGAATCATTTCAATTCACCTGTATAAAAACAGCTGGATGACACTAACAGAAATGTCACATTTGAATCACTACTTTCATGTTGTTTTCTGTCATGTAAGTCAGAAATTTGTAATTGTCCTTTTTTGTTTCTTTGTTTGTTTTTTGTCTTTTGTTAGTTTTGGATTAGCAGTATTAGCTTCTTTGATGCCACATTTTTGCTGCACATCTAACATATTGTGTCTGCCATGTTAGTGCTCTCCTTTTTATTTAGCTTCAAACCAAAATGTGTCTTCACTGATGCTGTGGTGTTTGGCTATACAACCACATCCATGATGTTATTGTCAGTAGATCCATCCATGCATTATCTATACACGCTTAATCCTCACTAGGCTCGTTGTGGGCTGGAGTCTATACCAGCTGACTTAGGGTGAAGGCAGGGGACACCCTGGACAGGTCACCAGTCTACCACAGGGCTACACCCAGAGACAGACAACCAAGCACACTCACATTCACACCTACGGACAATTTAGAATCACCAATTAACCTCAGCATGTTTCTGGACTGTGGGAGGAAGCCGGAGAACCTGGAGAGAACCCACGCTGCACAGGGAGAACATGCAAACTCCACACAGAAAGATCCCAGGCGTCCTAACCGGGCACGAACCGGGGATCTTGCAGCTGTGAGATAACTGCACTATTACCAAGTCACCGTGCAGCCCTTATTGTTAATAGATGCCCATCAAAATGCAGCCAATCAAAGAAAGCAAAATAAAGATAAACTGTTAGTGTCATTAGATCATGGCATAAGAAAGGCACATAAATGGTGAGAAAAAAAATGTGGGAAAAGTCACTGAAACATGATATTTCTGTTTCTATAAAGGTCAGTGGGAACGATTCTAATGACAAATGATCATGGTCAATTGCAGTCAGACCATTTTGTAATAATTGTGACAGACCTGGAGTTCCTGTGGCCAAATCCTTGCTTGTAGAACGTGAGGGATTCTGGTTAGAATGCATAACCAAACCACAGACCAGGCTTTTCAATCCCCACCCCTCCTCCACTGAACGCACACAAACCCTCAACACACTTTTCCTGTCCAAACATATTCACATCCAGCCACAATGATTCAGTCCTACATCTGTGTATATTATATTGCATACTTATTGTATGATATCACTGCGCCCCAATAGCATTATGGATCTCATCTCATCAGAGCCCTGAATCCTTTTCAGGCCTGAGATGATGGTGATGAATGAGTGTCCAATGGTGAGGACAGCATTAGGGTCCCAGCTAATCGTGTAACCTGTCAGTTGGAGCAGGGAGATTGATGCTGGAACAATATGGAGGAAGGACCCATGCATTCACAGGGAGCCACCCACCACAGTGGGATGGGATGAGCTCGGCCTGCTGGGGTCCAGTCCACAGGGATTTGAACCTTTTTTAATAATTTTAGTGAACTCGCAGGGCACAGGGTCATCATTTTTGGGGGTTTTTGCGTTCAAGGCCTGGAGTTCATGCTTTTAACTTAATCTAGCTCTATGACAAGTAGTTGAAGGAAAATGAGCATTTTAAATCTCAAGAATCGTTAGTTTATAGTATCTATCCTCCTCGCAGCAGTAATGTCATTTTCTCCCACAACTACCATGCCAGGGCTCTGAAATCAAATGTCATCTCTTTCTGTCTTTGGGGTCTAACCTCAGCTGAATGCTGATCGTCTGCCTAAAGAGCTTCCATCAGTAACCAGATTACAGCGCAATCAGCGAGGCTAAAGTGCGAGACACCAGGAGCAGGGATGCAATTGGCAAATGGGAATATGGTGAGGGGTCAGGTCTGGGTGAGGGCATTCAGGGAGGGTGGTTTCAATCACCATCCATAAAGGTATCGAAGAAATGACCTTCCCACTGATGTCAGGGCGCGGAGTTGCTCCTTTTCTTCAGCTGTAGTCTGAGCACTTGTTATTCCTGCCTTTTTCCACACGTAGTAATTGTTGATTTAGAACATTCTCTGAAATCTAAAAATTTTATAGAAACAAAAACAAAAATTTTTTTTGTGTGTGTGTTGAAAAAGATCAAAAATTTTTCTTTTTTTGTTTGTTTTGTTTGTTTTTTTTAAATCTTTTTAGCTACATAAAAGCCAAAGCTTCACTTGACGATTGATTCCCTCTTTTTTCAAAAGGCATTACAGACTTGGAGGAGGTGTCCCAGTTCCTGAAGGAGGGGATCATCATGAAGGACTTCAGCCACCCCAATGTTCTCTCCCTGCTGGGTATCTGCCTTCCACCAGAGGGCTCGCCGCTGGTGGTTTTGCCCTACATGAAGCACGGCGACCTGCGCAACTTCATCCGTGATGAGGGGCATGTAAGGAAACACGTGAATGAAAGCAGATACAACAGATGTGACTATTTTAAAGTGATGTTCAGTAATTAAGTTACATTAAGAATATGTGCTGAAGAGTGATTGTGACTGCTTCTTCCAGAACCCGACAGTGAAGGACCTGATGGGCTTTGGGCTGCAGGTGGCCAGAGGAATGGAGTATCTGGCCAGCAAGAAGTTTGTCCACAGAGACCTGGCTGCCAGGAACTGCATGTGAGCTCACATTTACTCATTCAACATCAAATCTGTGTTTTATATGCAGACAGGTGACAAATGACAGGAAAAACCAAAAGAAAACATTTTTGATGAATGGTGTTCATCCCTCAAGGAGACATCCAGAGATTTGGAGAGTCAATGCCAAAGTGCTGAGAAACTGTTCTGGAGGCCAGTCGAGCCCAACACCTTATTAAGGCACTCTGTGTTGGTTTTTCCCTTAATTTGTCATCCAACCATGTATTAAACAACAGAAACAGACAGTAATGTTCTTTCTGCTCTGACAGGCTGGATGAGAGCTACACAGTGAAGGTGGCAGACTTTGGCCTGGCTAGAGACGTTTACGACAAAGAATATTACAGCGTTCACAACAAGAGCGGCGTCAAGCTGCCTGTCAAGTGGATGGCTCTGGAGAGTCTGCAGACTCACAAGTTCACTACCAAGTCAGACGTGGTGAGAACTCAAACACATCTGTGACCCACTTGTGAAGGGAATTTGTGAAATTGTCTAACTTCTGTCAGCAGCTTTCACATTACAAAAAGAAATGTGACATAAAATAAATATGTTGTAAGTTGTTAGTAAAACGCTAATATTTAAATGATGAGTTAATTTCATTGTTTTTCCTGCAGTGGTCGTTTGGCGTGTTGCTATGGGAACTGATGACCCGTGGAGCCCCGCCATATTCTGACGTGAACTCCTTTGACATCACAGTGTTCCTCCTGCAGGGGAGGAGGCTGCTGCAGCCGGAGTTCTGCCCTGACGCTCTGTGAGTGTGCACGCACATAAATACACTCACACGTATATACAGTATACATACCTGTCGTTCACCTCAGTTAGCAAACCGCCACGGCTCAGTTAGTGTGAGTGATATACTGTAGAGCTACACTTCAATATATCACAGAGAGAGAGTCAGAGTCGGATACCAGGACAGAGCAGCAGGCAAAAAATGTACAAGAGCTGTGTAAGCAATGGAAGCCATATATAAAACCTCTCCAAGTTTGGCCCATCCATCATTCTCAGCAAGAACACACTTAAACTCCTCTGCAGTCAGGCGTCACATCTCATTACATCTGCAGGTCAAATAAAAGTCACTTTTCTTGCTTTACCGCAAAACACAACGTTTAAATGGAAATCCAGTGTGAGTATCATGTTTCATTTCTGTTTGTCTCTTTTTGTTGCCAAGCACTTGTTGCTGCGGTAGTTAAGTGCTCCTAAAGATCCCCTGTCAGTCAGAGCAGTGTTGCCAGTCCCGAGATTATCTTTTTGTGATGAAGCTTGTTTCGTTTTCTTTGGATCTGTTCACATCCTAATTTGCCAGACAAAATATGCTGAACCACTGTGGTAAAAACCAGACTGCTGGACTTTTCCAGGTGAGCTTAGGAACAGCTCTGAAGTAAAGTTCAGTCACAATCTGTAGCTACAATACTGCAACTGCCTGGTGCAGCTAAGACAGTTAATTTCTATTTTGTGAAAGTGGTAAATGGTAGAGAGAAGCAAAACATAAATTTATTCACATGGAAATGCCACATCAGCTCACTTAACACTACTGTATCTAAATTGTCCTTATCCATTAAACTCTGACCCCCTGGTGCTGTGAAGTAAATGCCAGGGGGTGATGTCATACAGAGCTGATAACATCGTGAAGCGCTCTACATGTGTGTGGAAATTAGAGGGAAGTGGGAGTGTTCAGGTGAGAGGGAGGCAGAGGCCCAAAATTCCCAAGCTGTAAATTAAACAGAGACATCAGGAGGTGATGCACGTCTGCAAACATTCCCGCAATTCTTCACCCCTGAATGCTCACAGGGTGTTGTGGGTCTCAGCAGACATTGGCAGACACGTTGGACATGTAGCAATGGGGCCATTTTTCTTACATTTTTAACAATGATAGGGTTGCTCCGCCAAGTCAGGGAAAGAAAAATAACAATGGTGATATTAAAGATTCTCATGTCTGACAGGGTGAATGGTGGTGTTGCAAAACGATATAAATGAGGCCCAGTCTGATAGCTGCTGTGAAAATCAAACTTATCTTGGAGACACGTCAATATAATCAGCTGTTGTAAGACCTTTTCCATTTCGTATGCATAACATCTGTTAGGGAGGAATAACAATGTTTGTTAGAGTACTAAGTGATGGAATTAACCAGTAATACCGATCATAGCTTTTTTGGAATGAAACCCTTACGATAAAGCTGGAAAAACAACAGGCAGAGAAGAGAAGATGCAAAGCTTTCTTTTGCAATAGTTGGCTAAAAAAAGAAAGAAAGAAATGAAAACAACATGTCCAACCAATTAGGAAAAAATTACGTTAAGAAGACTCGACAGAGAAGAAAACAAACTTAAAGTGTTATATATAAACCAAGTGTGTTTGTGATTAAACTTTTAGTTCGTGCTGCAGCTAATTTTATTTCACAGCATTTAGCAACAATTCTATGAATCATTTGCATGAAACAAAGAAAAGTAGCAGTGGCAGAAACAATTGAAAAAGTTACATTTCACAATGAGATTTTTATGAAGTAAACCCAAGTTAGCAAAGTTATTTTTAAAGACCCCCTCCAGTAAAATCAAGGTTGTTTTTTTTTTCCTTGTGAACATGTCCATATGGTGTTTTTTTGTATGCTAGAAAATGGATCGTGTGCAAAATAAGCAGATGAAACTGCAGTGCCGTGATGATCGTCTCAAAAACACTGGATCAGACATCCGGGGTTTTATCAAGAATTATATTAATAATGGCTTAATTAATGTAGCGCTTTTAAAAGCAAGGATTTTACCTGAAGTGCTTTGACCAACAACGAAAAGCAGGATACCCAGAATACCACATGACAGAAAATAAGACGTAACACAAAAATGCTAAATACAGTATGTCAGTATTAGTAAACATAAATAAAATAATATAAAAAGTAAAACCTGAATAAGAAGTAAAAAGCTAAACAAGCAATAAAGAGATGAGATTACATAAAAGCCCATCTAAAAAGACAGATTTTAGAAGAAGGCACTGATTTTGCCTAATGAACCAATCTTTCAGCGTGTCATACTCATCCTTCAGATTTGGTTCCCAGCTCAATCATACATGACTGATTTCAGTGGCGGCTGGTGAAAATTTTTGGTGGGGGGCACAGTCTGCAAATGACCTTTTATTTTAAATCAGAAATTAGAATATGAATAACATCAGGCACAACTATTTACAGGAATGCTAATTTTCTACCTTTGGAGGATATTCTCATCATAATCAGATGTAACATTATTAAGACTCACCAGAGGGCTGCAAGGTGACGAAGTTGGTAGCACTGCTGCCTCGCAGCAAGAAGGTCACGTCCCGGTGAGGACACCCGGGATCTGCATAGAGTTTGCATGTTTTCCTCGTGCAACGTGGGTTCTCTCTGGGTTCTCCTCCCACAAGTCCAAAAACATGTTGAGGTTAATTGGTGATTCTAAATTGTCCATAGGTGTGAATGTGAGTGTGCTTGGTTGTCTGTGTCTATGTGTAGCACTTTCAGCATTATTTACAGGATCTGTACAAACTCAAAACACACAACATAAATAATGGGGAAAAAAGCACGATTCAGGGCTCCAGACTAACTTTTTCACTGGTAGTACTGGTGCAACTAACTTTCTCATTTTGCTGCACCTTCCACGTGGTCAAAGGCAAAACGTATGACTTGCTGAACATGTTTTTACTGATGCTCCCTAAACGTCCCACATAGCAGGCTGTGGTAGATGCTGCTTGGTGGCTGTGGTGTGCTCTGACAGGTGTGCTATAAAAATGACAAACTAGTAAATAATAAACTAGTACGTTCTCATGACCCAGTTACATGTATTCTACTTTTCTATGAGCAGAAAAACAACGAATGTGCGTTCTGTTTTTCAGCAGAAGATGTAGTTTTTTAGCGTAAATCCTGCAGTACACCGAAGTTATAAAAGTTCTGCTTTCCACCACTGTGGTTAACACAGCAGCTTCCTGTGCCGGGTACAGCGACAGTAATACAGCTTCATGATCATCAATTCTCAATCAATTCACACACTCTCAAAAACAAAAAGGTTGCAAATGCAGTCTGGAGCCCTGCTATTTGAACAAAAATTGTCTCTTCCCCGTATTAACCAGCCGCCACTGACTGATTTACTCCCATATTACAACTGGCTGTTGAGTAGTTTTACAGTGTTTAGGCAAACTCACAGGTGAGCTAGTGTGCTCCAGCTGCAGCAAATAAGGATAGGTGCAAGGAAAAAGCAGCATGGACACCATAGATTGTAGAGGAAGCAACAATGCAGACTTTCATCTAAATCGTTTTGAGGCAGGAAGGGATTATTTTCATGCAAAACTCTTTTCAATATATAATTCTGATTCACAGAGATAAGTCTGTAGGTGTTTAACCAATGATCAGAGAAGGATGGTTCCTTGTTCACATCTAATTCCTGTCAAATCTAATGTATTTGGGGGAATGAGTTTTATTTTAAAAATGAAATGTAAAAACCACAGTAGCTGTAACAAGGCACTGAGGCCCTTTCTTGCTCCTCTTCCTGCACCATGTTCTGATTCCCCTCCTCTCTTCCTTCAGCTACACAGTGATGATCGAGTGCTGGCATCCGAAGCCGGAGCGGCGGCCCTCCTTCTCAGACCTGGTGTCGCGCATCTCCGCCATCTTCTCCAGCTTCAGCGGGGAGCACTACGTCTTGCTCAACACCACCTACGTCAACATCGACAAGTTGAGCCCCTACCCCTCCCTCCTGGCCTCTACCGCCTCTTCCTCCTCCTCGTCCTCCTCCTCTGAGCCCATGGCCTCCACGTCCTTGCCGTCCCCCTCCACTCTGTTTTGTCACATGGAGCGAGACTGCTGCACCTGAAGGGAAGAAAAAGGAGGAGGTGATGAAAGGCAGTACGGAAAAGACTCAGAAAGAGAGGAAAAGCAAGGAAGAAAATGTGAGGTGATGACGAAGCTGTTTGAGAACTACTGTATGTACTTGCCAAACACTGGACACTGCATGCTGAGGAAAAACACGGACTGATGTTGCAGCTTGGACTGTTCACTCAGTGTACATAGATTGTGGACTTTTGATCTTCTCAAGCGTCGCCAAACGATGGGGGCCTCCATGAACTACAGGGCTGACCTCATCGACTTCCACCAACCTTTCTGACCTTTCATTGACTCTGAGGAGCGTGAGGTCAGATCTCCTGCGTCCTCTACAAGACAATTACAAGGCACAGGAACGCCTCCTGCAAGATTTCCAGCAGACAACACCACTGTCACAGAAGTACATCTCGTTGCGCCCACACAAAGAGAGGATAGATTTCCACTCTTCTCTGGGTGGCATGTGCTTCAGTAAGCGGATGTGGCTCCGACTTATACACTGTCTGTAATGTGAAAGTGTCAAATGGCCATGTATTCATGTTGTATGAAAAAAATTCACACCTCCACAAACCATAAACAAGACTCGATGTCACCCTGACAGACACCGCAGCCTGCAATGACAGATTTTGGTGCCTCGGGTGAGTAAACTGAGGCATGCTGGAGGTGGATGGCAGCAGGTAGGTGTAGAAGTGGGATGTATAAAAAAATAAAAAAACTGCTGCCTGTGTGCAGATCACTGGATGCTTTATTTGTATAATTCTCTTTAAATAATTAGCTTTTGATGTTAGCTTTTGATGTGCTCGGAAAAATCGTCTCACCGTGACTCACCTTTGTGGAATCCCCAGCTGTTTCAGAGTGAAAAGAGTTAGAAGCGCCTTTTATTTTCATTTTTTAAACTCTCCGTCATGTCAAAAACAGTACCACTCTCACAATCGAAAGCTTTGAGGTTTTCTTGGAAAGAAGAAGGACAACAAATGAGAACCATGTCCAAAGAATTTTTGGGTTGTTTGGTTGATGAACTGTCCAGGTTGCTTAGTGTACATATGTTGGATCTGCATCCGTTTTGTAAGACTTGAGAACATGCTGGACCTGGTGATAAGGGGACTCACAGTTGATTCATTTAACCAATGCTCTTTCAATATTTCTTTGAATTAAGTAAATTTTGACCCACCTTGTGTTGTTCCATGAAGATTTTACTCAGAGTAAAGCTTGTACTTCAAAGAGCCCCTGTGTTTATCTGGTTCAGACCGGGACTTTGTCATTATGTGACTGTCAGTGACAGCTGTATATCACTGTATCTCTACGTCGACTGTACAGTCATGATGAAGAAATGACCACATCTGTGTGTTTGCCAATTTTTGCTTCCTGACTACAAATCATGTGTAAGTTACACTGTTGACATTTTTTTTAATTCATAGATTTGCAGGCACCATTGGCTTCCATTCATTTCACCACAATATAAAATTATTTTTATATTGAAATATTCCTGAGTTGTGTAATTCACCATGATGACTATGGTGCATGCTGTTACATTAGACATTTCTGTTACATTAAAACATGTAATACATCGCTTTCCCACTGTAATGGTGAGATGTGCCTGTTGATCATTATCAACTATTGACAACTGAAGAGACAAATGCCTGTATTGGGAGGCACCTAGGATTCACTTTAGGTTGAGACAGGGCAACATGTATTTATGAATTGTATAAAAATCCTCATCAGGCCCACTAGTATGTTCCTAAATATGAGTTTCATGTTTGGATGACTATAAAATAATAGGAACTAGTACATTTACATAGCGTATTTCCACTATACGTGAGGGATTACACAGTTTTAGCAAGTTTCAGGAGTCTGATTTTCATATTGTATGAAATGAATGGAAACGAATCGCTACTTGAACGGATAAAAAAAACACATCAAGCACACCAGTATGATTTAAAAAGTGGTTTGTTGTGGTTTAGTTAATATCATTGGTCACAAATTGGCTAAAACTTACAAATAACTCAATTCCTGGTCAATGCCCTCTTTATCTTTGCTTTGTGTAGCAGATTATGTTGTTGTATTTTTTATTTTTTATTTTTTTTGATCTGAATGGCTGCTGATATGATTGGGCCATTGATGGACAGGTATGAATGTTTGCTATGACAAGAAAATTGCTGTACTATATTTTTATATTGATGATGAGCCTCTTCTTGAAATATGGTCCAATGGGAAGACCGGTGGTGAGTGAATCGTGAGGCAAACAATGAACAAAGCCACTAATCAACCCTTTGTTTTCAAGACCAACCACTGCCATTTTGTAAATACAGAGAAGGGAGTGTAGGGATCTGTGTGGGTTTGTGTGGATGCTAATCTAGCTTTTGATCATTGTGAAAACAGTAACGAATGTTGAGCCAACTGGAGCCACCTCACGACACTCAAAGACTGCTGTCACTTTGATGATGTGATTCTCCAACACTTTGTCTGTGCTTAACACTGTCTGTTGTGTGTGTGTGTGTGTGTGTGTGTGTATGTATGAGTTTGTTGTCTGTAAAAAAAATCCTGAAGGTACATGTTGCTATGTAACGTCAAATTAACTTTATCAGTGTAATAAAGCTATACTATAAGAGTTAACCCCTGTTTTTTTTGTGTCCTTTGTTTACACTTGCAACAGCCATGTTGTTTTTTTTCACAAACCACCCTTCGAGGCAAACATAAAACACAACTGTAGACAACTATAATTACAATGAAGGTTACTCCTGCATCATACTGTCCATATGGGCATTGTGCAGTTGACGTGCAGCTGCTAGTAAGTCAGAAAATGCGTCAGTTTCACAATGAACAATGAGGTATTGTTGGTGTAATGACATGTTACAATAACACGAGTGCGTCCTTTGAAAAACCTCTAAATTCATTGAAAGGTTTGAAGGTTTGTTTTTTTTGTTTTTTTTAATCATCAGCAGTTACAAAAAAGATAGATGATTATTTGTTTTCAAACTGGGTCAACACAATCCATGCGTGTGCAACATTTTGAGTTGACAGCCCTGCCAGCCTTTTGTTCCCAGACATTCATTCTTTTTTTTTTGTTCCCAATGCCTGGAGGTGACCTTTGACCCTTCACCTCCAGCTCCCCTCTCTTCTTTCGACCCCTATAAGTACCGTGGTCTAGACTTTCCCCCAACGTCTGTCTAACTGAGCCATGACCATGGCGTTCAGGGCAAGTTGTTCTTTCACAGTTGCTTAGCAATGCAGGGGGGTTTGTAAAGTCACACCATGTATGGTCTTACTGCAAGAACATGAACTATATAGAAGTTAGAGGATTTGACAAATTCCTACTTTTGACAGACTGAACTCTACAGACTTTTTTTTTGCTTCCTTGATGTTAGTGACCTTGAAAAGTAGGCTCAAGAGGAAGTTGGTTGGATTCCAGTTGGATGTTCTGCCATCAATCAAGACCAGGAGGTGATGTGAGTGATGATGGCATCTCACCTGTTAGTAAAATAACCAAAATGAATGTCCTTGTCAACCTGCCATCTCGGGGGACAACTCCTCTGTTAAAAAATAACTAATCACCTGTTGTCTGCGACCTTCCAGGTCAGTGGCTTTCAGTTTGGAGTTATCGTTCCTAAGTTGGAGCACACACTGTTAAGGTCAGTCACATATAGGTTCATGCCATCGGAGGCAGCTTCAAGGGACGGGATGAGTTTTGTCTTTCACAACAGTTTTATACACTGTCATAGACTTAAACCTGCATTGCAAAACTTTTGTGTCCCCCTTCTGGCAGTAAGAGTAAATGCACAAACATCATTGATGCATGTTTGTGAGGCATGTGTTTTTGAGACCGTAATATTTCCTCTGAACACTAAATTCATTTTATCTGGAAAATCAGAAACTTTTCTTGAACCCGTCCTTGGTTCTTCCACAATACTGCAAATTTCCACAGAATATTCTGATTTTCGTTGCTACCATTGCTCACCTATTCAGCTCTGGCAAAAAAAAGTCCTTCCTGGCTGATGACAAGCTCATTGCTTCAGTGCACCGACACAGTAATGTTGCCACAGAGGCCAGATTTAAAACTCCACTATAATGCAAAATAAGAGATAGATTTACATGGCACTGATATAATTAATCAGCATTGTGTGAGCTCATTTACTAAGGGTTTGAATGTAATAGAACTTCATTTATATATAGAAGTCCCACATGACAGCTTTATTCGAATCTATTCTAATACTCTACAGTTCACAGTGAATGTAGCACTCTTGTGTATTCTGTCCTCCAGCTGTCAGCTGGGTTGCTGGATTTTTTTTAGTTATTTATTGTTTGATATTGTTCCAATGTAATAATACCAAGAAAAAAACTGTGCTCCCACAGTATTTTATTGATAATTGCGGTACAAAGTTTCGGTCAGTAACATCCTTTTTAAGCAATATTTGGGTACAAAAGGTATTTTTTCAAATATGACATTGTGTATATATATACATGGAACTGTGCAAATAACAACAATCCCAAATAGATAATGAGATCACAAAACAATTGGTAAATCATGAAAAGAATAACAAAAAAAGTTTTTTATTAATATGATTTTTGATTATTTTGTTATTTTTTCTTTATTTTTCTTTGTATTTTTTACATGTGGTATTTTATTCATTGTGTTCCTTGTGTGTTGACCTTACATTTGTTCACACGTGCTCCATCAGTACCCAAATGTTTGAAGACACGTTGGTATTCAACCAGTTATTTTCTGACTTCGGCCCCGTATAACACTGTCATTGTTCAGTGAGCTCTATATATACACGATGCTAACTTTTGAAAATTTGGTTGTCGCCAAAAATTAGCCTTAAAATGGAAGTCATCTGTCAAAATGTTGTTCTGCAAGTATTAATAAAATACTATTGGAACACAGCAGCATTTTGCCTTTGGCAGATTTTAAAGATTTTTCCATTTTGATCCTGTACCTACAAGAAAAAAGCTAGCATTAAATTGAATGGATGTTACTGGTTGAACCTGTTTTTGATTCTTTTGGAGTACGTGTCTGTCTTAATTAGCAATAACAGCATAACTTGAACTTGAAACACAAGATATAATATATGAAATAAGACATTGGGATTGACAATCATTTTACAGCTCACTGTTTAGGCCTCTGTGCTTAGCAGCCCATATCACCCATGATTAGAAATTGAATTAAAGTGTGAAGAAAATAAATTTAAGAGAAAGAGGGAATCAGTCTTTGCAGGAGCTTTGATGCCCTATAGCTGTTGTGACCCTCTGGGCCTTTGAAATCTGCACTGTACACAGTCCAAGGTGTGTAGGTAGGGCAGGGAAGCTTTCCAATAATTAGGTGATTACAAAGAAACATCATTTTTTGAAAGCAAAGTGTGTGGCTTTTACTGCCTGCAGCAAAACAAGTTAGAAGGTGTGGCCTACGGTTTCTGCCTTGTCAAGGTGGGTTGTTTTGCAACTACACGTTTGTTTCTCTATTTTCCCTCTTCACTTCAAGTCTTTATATCAAAACCTGTGTTTCTTAAAGCTGCAGGCCAAGAGAGATAGCGACAGAGGAGAGAAGACAGCTGTGGTGGAATTTTCCAGGACACTGGAAGAACATGGTCTTGATGTAGGTATCCTCAACACCATGCTGAATTATCTTGCCCTAAGGCTTTAACTATCCCAGTAAAAATCCATGTTAAGCCCCAGCTAACACAAGCATGAGGCATGTCTGTCTTTGCATCTCACTCAAAGCATCCATCTCACTTCTGCCACACCAGGCTTGTCCTGTCTTTCATCCCTCTTCACTCTCAGTCCTTCACTCTGCCGCCTCCAGCACTACTCGTCTTCTCTGGGTGAAACCTAATTTCTGCATTTAAGACCTCTAAAATCTATGCATTTCTGCAAAATAGTTGCCAAACTCTTATACTTTATTACTTAAACTTTTTTTCTAATTAAAAACTATCCTGTTGAGTGTATTTTTTCCCCCAATTATTAGATTATCAGTTAAATTTTAACTAAAAACAAACTTTTTTTTTTAAATCAGAAAAAAACATGCACATATTTAAGGTAATCTGAGTATTAACTATATGATAACACAAACACATTATCCTAGACCTGCAAGTCAGTGTCTCCACTCCCTGCTAATCCTTTCTAAAGTCAACACACACAGCGTTTAAATCCATCCCTGTTCTCTACCTGTGTCAGTTTGGGTATTTGTGTCTGGGTCTGTTTGCCTTTCTTCTGCTGTAAGCGATACACACTAAAATCTCGGCCACACACACATTCAAAGAGCGGACAGGTGCGACTACTGATGTGATCACAGGCAAAAGTTAAACTGGATGCAGGTTTTCTGTAGAAGTCATCAAGTGAGTCAGCAGCATCAGTATGTATGTCAGAGGGACTGCTGAACTCCAACGCACATACCTTACACTCGTGTGTGGGCTCACACTTATGCAAAAGCATGTTTTCATACATGTACATTCAGACGGTAAGTATTTAAACTATTCTTGGGCTCTGTGATCATACATATTTAATATAAAATAAAATAATGGATACTACATTAAAGTCCCAAGTCTTTAATTTGAGGAAGTTTAACAGTGAATGAGTGCCTGAAGGCTTGGGCTCGCTCTGTTTTTAACCTGATCTTTAACAGGTGGACTGCAGCTCAGTCGGATTAAGATCAGCTGACTGATTCAGTCCCAAATATCTTTTTGGAAGGTTTGACCATCTGTGCAGTACCATTGTCCTGCTGAACAACGAAATTTCATTCAGTGAGTTTGGATGGATCTGTCTGAATGCTCCTGTAGATCTCTGCATTCATCCAGAAATCATCAATAAATGTCAGTGTGCCAGTCCCACCAGCAGTAAATGTCCAAACAGTAAACCAAGGCACCACCGTGTTCGACAGATGAGAAGGTTCTTTGGCTCATGAGCTGCTTTTTTTTTTGCCATATATTTGCAGATGTTAAATTCCTTTTGAACCTTTGCCGTTTTTCACACCATGTTTTAAAAGAGCGATATCTTGCATACAGTTCTTTAATAATAAACCTATTCACTTTAAAGCTGAAACTTGGCACTTTGAGTACATGTAAACAGAAAAAAATGTAGACTGCTTATGCAAAGCATGCACATGTTACAGCAAATGGACAACTACAAATTTGCTTTAGAGTACCAAACACTGGCCTTGACACAGTGAAAAAAAAAAGTATGAACATGTCCATAAAACATCCGGTTTAATCGCGGTCATTATCAGAGCATGGTGAGGGGGAGTTTATTTTATCGTGATTTGATGAAACAATGATATACTTAAATTGAACAATTTCATTTCAGGAAGGAATTTGTACTTTGGCTACTGCTGGTGCAACTAGTTGTTGTATATTTTTTCAGTTTGTTGCAAAGCATGGATGGAAATGCAACATATTCAAATTTTCTGCCTCTCTTAGGGATCAAGTCAAAAAACACTGGATTTTGTGCAACGTCGCTCAATGACATCTCTCATTAAACCCTCTGATAAATGTCCATGTTTTAAACTCCACATTCACACGCACTTTGTAATGTCAACTTCTGTTTTGAATTGCTCGTCTTCAAATCCAAATTTAGATACTTGCTATTCAAATTTCTGGAAATGTCCCCACAAGGGATTAAAGTGA